AATACATTTAAACGTCGTTAGACTGCGAAAGAGGCGCGTGGATCCTGGACAAACCCGTCGACTGGCTACTCACTCTAGGATTTCGACGTCATGACGTGACGTCGTGACGAGTCCGTCCAAGTTGTGGTGATTTTGACGTCGATACGAAGTTAGCGACCTCATATAACCTCTCCTCGTGACTTTTCCGCATGGTGCGAGTCCTGCTTGCCCTCCTCCCTCCCAACTCGGACCGTGCCGCGCGTGTCCACGATAAGGGGGGGGGGGGGCACGGAGCACACCGGCCGCGGTCGCCGTCGGTGTCGGTGCCGCATGCGCGTCCGCTCCGTGAACCCAATGAACTCTCCTGCACTCCTCGACGGCGCCCCGGCAGCCAGGAGCCGAGCGTCGCCAGCCGGGGCCGGGGGCGGCTCCTGCTTGCGCGTGGACAACCTGGGGTTAGCCCAGGCGAAAGACACAGTCTCGGGCCTGTGGTGCGAGCTGCCCGCAGCTCCGCAGCTAGTATGGTCCCGGACACGGTATAGACGGTACAGAGTGTAGAGGTCCCGGACGTGTTCCGGGAAGCCGCGTTGAAGCAAGCAGCCCCGTCCTGTAAGCCGACCTACTCACAGCGCACCTGACGCCCCTGACGACGATCACCCCTTTTCGCCGCTTCTCGCGGTGCTCTCGCTCTCTCGGTTGCTCTCGCGGTGTTCTCGTGGTGCTCTCGCGGTGCTCTCGCGGTGTTCTCGTGGTGTTCTCGTGGTGCTCTCGCGGTGCTCTCGCGGTGCTCTTGCGGTGCTCTTGCGGTGCTCTTGCGGTGCTCTTGCGGTGCTCTTGCGGTGCTCTTGCGGTGCTCTCGCGGTGCTCTCGCGGTGCCCAAAGTCCGCGGGTGCGGGCGGTGACATTGGCGATCTCCCTTGCCAGAGGGACGTCTCAAGCGCCTAACTGTGCCGTGCCTCAGGCCCTCAGGCACTGGGGAAGGGAACCTGACTCATTCCGGGGATGTGGACGCACCGCATCACGGGGCGGGGCCACCGCCCGTTCACCGATCACCTAGTGACTCAGTGCGTTTATGATCTATAACCCGAGCGCTACCCGGACTCTGATCCAAGCAGAAAGGTTTTAGTTGATCGAGGAGACGCTGTGAAGCAAGCGCAGAGAGCGCAGAGCTAGCCTGGCTTCAAACTCCCAACTCTGCCCCGTAATGTCAATGACACGTCGGGATGGGGTGAGCGGGCGGGGAGAGAAGGGCCACGGCCAGAGCACTCGCGCGGAACCTCCCCGTCAAGCGGGACAGGTGGGGCGGGGCGCGGGGGCGGGGGAAGGCGTCCAGCGTCCAAGAGACGCGCAAAGACCGATCTGACCGGAAGAATCCGGGTCGGAGATCCCGATCCGAGGATCAGGATTCGAGCCCCGACGTCGTCTCCCGAAGAACCCTGAGACAGAGGGAAGGAGAAGTGGGAGCGGGGAGAGAGGGGCTCGGGACCCGACGGGAGCCGACGGGACCCGACGGCGAGAGCAGTGGCGCCACCTTGCCGGCAGGCCGGTAGAACTAGCGAGTGGCGCACGGGGAGGGGGGAAGAGGGGCCAGGGACAGGGGCAGGGTGCGAGCGAGAGGGTGAGACGAATCGAACCTCTCACTGGCTCGCTCTCTCTCGCTCCTGCGCACTCTCCACCCCGCCTGGACACGGCGAGCCAGTCCATTCATTCAGTCAGAAATGTAACCGTCAACGCGTAGGAGCGTACCAGGAATGCGCTATTCTGGTCATTCCTTGAGTGAGTTTGCTTTCATTTTCACGTTTGGTGCTTGGATTAGTGACCTACATCCTCCTTGACGCGTGCCGTGTCGTGCTGCTCACCCGAGAAGTGTGTCCCCGTCCGTGCGGACCTCCCTAACCTATCGTGCCCTGGTCCTGCACGGCGAGCACCGCCAGCACGGCCTCCCGCACGAGGTGCCGAGCACTCGCCTGCATGCACGGCCGTCCGCGGGGACGCCCTGTGACGGAGGGAGGTCCCGGCGCACGTCCCCGACGTCCTGCTCCGCTCTGCTGCAGTGGGGCCCCCGCAACCCCGCAGGCTCCGCCAGGGTCGCGTGCGTGCGCGTTCCTCCGACCCCGGACAGCGACGGCGACCCTGGTACCCTGCGCCCGCCACCCGCCTGCCGTCGGGGAAGAGGTCCTGGCCCGTGGCCCGGGCCCTGGCGCGTTCCCACCCCACGGCAGCGATACCACGGCGATCCCGCGGCACCCAGGTGTCATGCGGGTTGTCCACCCCACGGCGTCGTCGCCGAGCTCCTGCTCCTGCCCGAGCACTGGGTCCTGCCCAGCCATGCCTGAGGCCCAGCAGGCCAAGCTAGCCCAGCCCCAGCAGGGCGCCCAGCCTACCCTAGTGAGCCCCCACCCCGTCAACCCTCTGACCCTCTGCTTCCCGTCCGTACGCAGGACCTTAACGGCCCGAACAAAGAGCTTTGCGTCCCGTTGCGTCATGTCTTCGATACCTGCGGAGGTTTGGTATCGGCGCCCCAACCCGTGCCACCGCCACCACACCTCTAAGCGCGCATCATCTGTCTCTTTCTACCTCTCTCCCTCTCTCTTAAGCCTTAAGTCGGAATGTTTAGTTTGATGGTGCGCGGACTGTCTGCTGTACCGAAGCCTTGCTGCCAGGGATATTTTGCCATGTTATGTAATCGCATTGTCAGTGACGGACACTGTCCTGAGATAGCACGACGCGATATCCCAGTGTGTAAGGTGTATTCCACAGACTACCCGTGTCTGTGTACTTGTTACTGGTGCATAGGGTGCAGAGACGACCTAGGTTATGGCCACTGTTGACAGTCAGGTGATTACATTTTGAACCAACATCCACCATGGTGTGTAGAGCCCTCATGCAACACAAATGTTACTTTCTTGTGTGCTCTCTTGATAGAGAATGTCATCAGATGACTGCTCTCTAAAACCAGCAATTGGGTGTAGTAGTATTTACTAAAGAGAATCCTTGTCATTACCTGTAATTTTATAAGTAGACTTAATGGGTAGAATGTCTTGGTCTATTTGTCACAGATGCATATCATTTGTTTGTCATCTGTTCAACTCAATACCAATTGTATTTATTTTCTGTTTCAGGGTGTGCTCAGGAGGTCATGGTCCAGCTGCCTTAAAGTGCCGTTACTCACAACTGGGTACAACAATGGCGGGGGGAGACGAGTCTGTGGAGCTGACACTAGTCGATGCCCTGGAGGGGGTCGCTGACTCAGAGGGAGGTGGGAAACGTCTACCAGATGTGGTAGTAGAGACCAAGATACTTCCTGGGAATGGCATTGCCCATGACAGTCCCATCCTATTGCAAGATCCACCAAATGAAGAATCATACTTTAGCATTGCAATCCAGGTTTTCATTCCCTTCCTCATAGCAGGTTTTGGTATGGTTGGGGCTGGTTTAGTTCTTGATGTTGTCCAGGTAAGTGTCTCTCATTACTTAATTTTAATGCAAAGTGTTTTATTTTATTTGTGTTTAAATTTTACTTAATTACTTTGTATTGTTATAATTTTTAGCACTGGGTTGTGTTTGAGGAAATAACAGAGATAGTTATTTTAGTCCCAGCTCTACTAGGACTTAAAGGGAATTTAGAAATGACTTTGGCATCACGCCTTTCAACTCAGGCTAACTTGGGTCATATGGACACACCGCGGCAGCAATGGAGTATGATTGTATCAAACCTCACCCTCATCCAGGTAATTTGCTTACTTTCCATTAACATTGGTTTTCTGTTCAAAATAATTTTATGTATTTTTTTAAATTAGTGCCAGGCTACAGTTGTGGGTTTCCTTGGATCTGTTATGGCAATAGTAATGGGTGCACTTAAATCACACTCAGTGGAGCTGGACCATGCGCTCCTGTTGTGCGCCTCAAGTCTTGTTACCGCATCTGTTGCCAGCTTTGTACTAGGTAAATACTTTTTCTTGTGTTGAAAAAATCTAGTGTAGCTGGAATTAGAATTTAGGGTTTGAAAACCAATACTTTTCTAGGTCTAATAACTGCTGCAGTTATAGTTTTGTCAAGACATTGCAACATAAATCCAGATAACGTAGCAACACCTATTGCAGCAAGTCTTGGAGACATAACTTCTTTGTCTCTTCTTTCCTATGTTTCAACAGAATTGTATTACTGTATTGGTAAGTTTTCATTGCAGATAAGACGTTTGACTCCTCTGTTAGGAAAATATATAATATTAGTTTTTATCTTTAGGAAAACAAGATTGGGCAGCTCCCATGATTATTATGGGATATGTAACACTTGTACCCCTATGGGTTTACATTGCCCAGAAAAATAAACAAACCCGTGAAGTCCTTTACACTGGCTGGACACCAGTTGTTTTGGCAATGATGATAAGCAGGTATGTTATTATATTCTACATGATGATCTCCATCTTTATTGTTTGTGGTTCCTTTCTCTAAAAAAAAATGTGGAACACTTACATTTGCAGCGTTGGAGGCCTCATCTTGGATTTCATGGTTTCAAGATTTGAGGGTATTGCAGTGTTCCAGCCTGTTATCAATGGAGTGGGCGGTAACCTAGTTGCTGTTCAAGCCAGCAGAATCTCAACATCTTTACATCGACATGGTCCTGTGGGAGACTTGGATGACAATCGTGATCCTATTTTTATTACTCCAATGACAGGATTCTTGGGAAAAGGTATGAACAAATTATTTTTTTAGTTTTATACCAAAACCATCACTACACTAACATACACCGTAATTCTACTCTTGAGCAGTAAACGCTTGCTCTCTAATTTTGTCTGAAAATAATATAAATACCAAGTTTCTGTATTTCAGTTTGTCCGTGCTAATTTAACTTTTTTCTTGTTCAGTCTTCTAATTTTTTCTCTTTTACCAACTTTGTAGCTAGCAATCAAGGAGAAAGAAAACCGAAAGGTAATTTGCCTGCTTTGGCAAAAAGAAAGTAGATGTGTTGTGTTTAGTTTGTGTGCTTGGTGATCACATATACGGACCTAGGATTGCATCAGAAACTCTGAACTTAAAAGTTTTATTAACTGTAGTTCCAGTTTTTTCTTGAAAGCTTTTTAATATTTGTATTTTTAATAAGGTGAAGGTTGAGTTTCTATTAGTACATATAGTGAAAAGTGTAGTGTGATGTAGTGTGATTGCTTTTGTGCCATCTAGGGTGCCACGGTTTCAAGTGTGTGACTTTTTTGTGTGAGGATGTAGAGTGTTTTCTGTTCGTGACCACTGAGAGAACTATCATAGACCTTGTTTGTGATCTGAATTTTGTACTTTACAGGTGCTCATGCAAGAACTACTCGTGTGCTAATGAGCATGGTTGTTCCTGGTCACATCATCTTTATTTATACCATCAATTATATGAAAGCAGGATCTACATCTCTAACACCCATGTTTGTTTCTATTTACTTGTTTATGGCTGTGCTGCAGGTAAGGCGTTGTTCTCTAGAATTGCACATAGTATAGTGTTTTTCAACTGTACAAAAAACAGTAATTTTTTTCTGTATTCCAGGTGGCTGTCTTACTGTACATGGCATACATTTTAATCCATTGGATGTGGAAGAGAGGCATTGATCCTGATAACTCTGCAATTCCATACCTCACTTCAATGGGTGACCTCCTTGGAATCAGCTTGCTGGCAGCTGCTTTTCAATTTCTTTACATGGTTGGAGATCGAGACTTAGATGTTGGTGACTAGGTCAATATCGTAGATCATGGTAATGCTCTTTTCTCTCTTTTACCTCTTATCATTTGTCAAATAATTTTTAATCAAACTGCATTTTATCTCTGAAGGTACAAGAAGAAATGAAAATTAAATCAAGATTTAGCTGCTTATTGCTGCAATTTAGGAATGGCTGTGGAAGAGCATAACTTTGTCAATTCATTTTGTGTAGAGGCAACCAAGACCAAGACTGACATATGGTTGGTATATTTGGCACATGGCCAAGCATATGGCAGTCTTCAATTAAAGTTTGAATTGTGAAGGCTCAAATGTGGTACAAGATGAAGGGCATGATCCTTAGTTTGACTCTGACTCACTAGTATCAATTTTAGAGAGATTTTATGGAAATGATTAGTGTATCAATTTATTCCTGGTTTTAAAAATAATTCTTCTTTAGGGCCTGCTCCTTCATTTCGGAATTAACATCAATTTCCATTATGTACCAAAGAAGTGCCAAAAAGTAGATATAAGCAGAGGTTGTGAGTGCAGAGCAGGGCAGCAGCAGGTCTGCTGCCAGCTTATGGTTTACCGAAAACTTCCAGCCGTCTTCAGGTATGGTTAGCTTGTTTGAGTTCATAATCTTAGAAACATGTCCCTTAGATCAATTGACGATAAAACAGTCTGTAATTTGAATTAGAAGCTTACTGCTTTAACTGAGAGACCCTCTGGTGTAACCAAATCACTCTTGCTTTTCCCTCATTCTTTTGTTGTAGTTCTGTATGTGGGAAATTTCAAGTAACATGTTACATGTTTAAGGCGTTTCAGTCTTATAGAGTAGCCAAGCCGCATTATTTTGGTGTCCGAAATCACTATTAGCGTTGACTGCCTTTGTAATTTTGGTGTGTTAAATGCAGTGAAATTAATTCTTTTTGACTATTCACACAAGTATGTGAGTACATGGATAACATTTGTATGATGAAATGATGTTTGTGGACTGGATGTGTGAATGCGTCTGTGAGTATCAAAAGAAGCGTACTTTGTATGTTTTAACAGTTATATTGTGTGCCTTCGTAAATAAGGTTGCTTCTAAAAGTCCAATTTTAATGACTTTTAGATGTAGTAAATGAGCCAAGCAGAAAGGCCTCCAAGAATTATCTTTCAGCCATGACATATAATAGAGATAAGATGCGAATGATTTTCCTCTAGAGTCATTTGTCGTGATGATGATGTGATTGATAGTAATTGTCATCCTGGTTCCTAATTCTAATTAACTTGAATGAATAATTTATTTTTTTCTTTATTGGTAGTGCATCAGAATGATAAATGTGTATCTTGTCCTATTTTCTCTCCATGTTTGTGTAAAGTGTCCTCTTTTCTTCTTGGTGTGAAAGTTTTCCATAACAGCATGCGATTTAGTATGAAGAATCTTAATGGAGCCGTCTTTGTAGTTAACATGGTGGTTAATTTTCTATTAAAATGCATATGAATTTTTTTATATATTTTTTTTCCATAGTCTACTAAAGACCTTCCTCACGTATTTAGTCAGTCAATCAAGAAAAAAATTACTCCATGGGTGAATGAAGGGCTGCGTAAAGGCTGCATTACATATAATCTTCTGAAAAGTACAGCAGCTAATGCTAGTGTCTCAATAGCAGTGAGATGTAAAATGAATTTGTGCCTTTAGACCATAATGTCATGTCTTCTAATTTATCTCAACTTGTGCCTTGTAGTGATTAGTAATTCTCAAAAATCTCTGCTTTACATCTTCAGTTGTGATCAAACTACATACCAACATTGGAGACCTTAAAGTATTTTACCTTCTTTAAACCACACAGTTATACAAGGAAAATACATACTGAGATATGAGAAATGGAGGTCTGAAGTTTGTTGTGTTCAATTATTATTATCATTGTAAGTCAACATTAAGAAAGCGTCCTTATATCCGTGGAAGCCTTTGGAAACTGTTTGTTTATAGCAGTACAGTATGTATTTGGTGTAATATTTTCCTTTATGCTGAATTCTTTTTTTTTTTTTTTTTGGGTGTGTTTAGATTGTGGCTGTCTCTAGTTTCAGTTTTTTTGTGGTGTACCATGACAAAAAGCAAGATCACCTATTTACATTATCTAGCTGGGAGTTCTTTCTCAGAAAAGTTTTGGTGAACATCAATAAGTAAAAGTTACATAGTTACTAAGGAGCTCGAATTGGAGGACTTTGCCAAGGAAAAAATAATAAGCTGGGAATGATGTTGAGATTCAGTGTACTTTAACTTTGCGATGGACCTCTTAATGCAATACTAAGCGTCTTTTTGTCTTGTTTTGACTCCCAGCCCAAGGAGGAATTTGAGCCCTGACTGTCAGGATGACGTCAAAATGGTCCCTCATTTTGACGTCTTTCTGCACTCATTCTGACGTCATTGTGACTCATTATGACGTCTATAAGTCAAATATTGGTCACACTGACATCAGGATGAGTGCAGAAAGACGTCAAAATGAGGGACCATTTTGACGTCATGCTGACTGACAGTCAGGGCTCAAATTCCTCCTTGGGAGGATATTCAACTGCAACTAAGCAGACAACACAGCCATTAAAAAAAAAATCCTATTTTTATCTTATGTGGTCTAATTTCAAAGCATTTATGAGCAGTACTATTTTTGTGATATTCAGAGCAACATATAGCTTATTTTGTATAAAACTGGTTCTTGTTTTATTTGTAACATTTACACACATGATATTTTGTTCAGAGTCATGTCTCAAAGCACATTGTTAATGATGGAACTTGCTAGAGTAAGATAAAGAGCTCTGCATCTTACAATAAACTATTTTTTGTACCTAGAATGTCCTTTCCATTGCTCCATTAGTTGCAGTTTTAACATACCTTGTATACTTTTTATTTTGTAATGTAAGTAGCTGATTTCAAGCTCTTATGCTGTGATCTTAAATTCAGACACAAGTAGATTCACAATCCCGTCCCTTTTCTCTTAGAGACATTTATTTAAAGCTTTCTGTTTCAGTTCTGTGCTGTTTTCCATTACTATGGAATGGGAATAGGAAAATATGTAGGCAAAACAATAACGATATTAACTTTGTTTGACATGGAAACTATAGCGAGTATTTATATCTAAAACATGGATATTTAATTTAATTTTTCATTCTACACATGATCCTCTCTGAGGTTTAATAAGAACCTTACTTTTACATTCAGCATTTTTTCCATGGCTCTTCTAGGCTATAGGCAAGCAAGGCTGTTAATAGTGTGTGGGTGTGCTACCATTGTGTGTTCCTTCTCTTTGAAAAAAGAAAACTATAGAACAAGAAAGATCTCCGTGTCCAGAAAATGCACAACATATGCACCAGATACTTGTCTGTGGTAGTTCTTCAACTTCAAAAATAGGGTTAAAATGACTGCTTGTTCATAGCGAACTGAAGTAGAATAAACGTGAGATTCTTGTCAAACTTATTGAGCTTCACTATGCATTCTATTGGTGTAGTAGGTAAGATCTGGTGGACATTTTTTTGTTTCGTTTTATTTGTTATTGTAAACTAAACTAAGTAGTTCTACAAATGTAAAAATCTTAGTACAATAAATGTTCTATTTCTTGAAAAGAATTTATCTAAATCCTGTTAAGAAAACACCATTTTTGATTTGAGTGCTTGAGATATTCAGGTTCCCTTCCACTGATGGAATTGTAAACAACCCATTAAGTTATCATTTAGGTTAGATATGTAAGTAAAGGAAATGTCATCCCTTTGTTTCAAGTTCCTGCTGTACAATTTCTTCGTTGTTCAGATTTGTAGGGATTTAAAAAGTGATTAGGATTGCATTGCATAGGCTCTCGTATGACTTACTTGAGTAATTGAGTCTGTACTGTAATTTATTTGTATGTTCGACACCAAAAATGGCTCAAAAAAGAATTGATATGATAGAACACTGTACTTTTAATTTTCAAAGTGGACAGCCAATTTCACTTCACTACTTCCATGCTACGTCTGGCTTGACACCAAAGTGAACTGAATTAGTTATTTTAAATTTAAGGCCTGTTCAAGATCTGGAATCCAAATGGTAACTGTTGAAGTACGTATGTGCATATCTTCCTATCTGGATCTGTATTTAAAGGAAAAAGTCCAAATTCATACACAATTTAATGATTTAATCTTTTCAAGGTCAAATTATTACACTTACTGAACATTTAAGTATAGCATTTATGTACAAAAATTCACAAAACACTTGGAACACTTTTACAGCACTACCAATAACAAAAAATTTCCACCAAGCCAGTTCAAGTAATCAAAATAAAACATTATCCAGCTAGGATGGAATGATATTAGAAATACCAGTGACTATTCAACAATTTCCACATGTAGGAAATTATAAAAAATGATTAAGATCACAATTATGTACAATTTGTGAGGAGGAGAACAGACAAATAGGCAGATGGTTTTCCATAATGGAATTTTACAAATTAAGTGTTACACACAAACAGTCAATTCCAAATCACAAAAAGCAATACTTTGCACGAAGACATGAAATAAATTCATTAAAACCGGAATTAATATGCCCTTTAAGATAGGATATACCTTGACACACAAAACTAAAACTCTTATGTGCCCAAACATAAGAAAATATGGTAACACCAAAATACCATGGTGTGCAAAACATGGTAACAAATGTCATCTTTGATCTTAAAAACTACTGTTTCCTCAACCACCGATCGGTCAAAGGTAAAGCACATTTGAGGTAAAGGCACGAATGCACTAGACTTCCACAGTTCACAATACCAGCCTAATTTCTTCAAGGGCCTCGTCTTGTAGGCACTAATAGCTGCAACGCATTGATTGTGTCAGGGAAGAGATTGTGGTAGTTCACCAAAGGTACATATGCAGCAGTAATCATTCGTCCTGAAAGAAGATTGAACAGTTAATGTTATAAACACATATTTATAAATTTAAGGACAGAGAAACCAGAGTAGTGTTTTACCTGCAAACCATCTCCCATGAAGAGAATTAACAGCAGCAACAGCGGTAGCAATGGTTGGGCACTTAACATACACATTGCCAGTGGGTGAGGCCTTGTCAACATAAACATGTAAAACTCCACCATGTTTGTTACATTCGTCTATAACATCGTCTCTAATTTCAATATCCCAGGTGGGGTTGGTTTCCCTGAAATTTAATTATTCAATGAAGGATTTGACAATATCGAACATCGAAGAAATTGCAAGGGAAATACTTACGTTGCTGGATCAAACATGTTAGCCAGCATAAAGCACTGAGTTGCTATGGGGGGTGCAGGCTGAGCTGTAGCAATTGGTACACCAGTTGTTGTATTCAGGTTTAGTGCAGCAGCTGCGGGGGCAGGGATTTGAAGACCAGTTCCTAAAAACATGATATAGAAGCAGCATAATTAGTCATGACTCTCAAAACTTAACAAAGATCACAGATGAATTTCAATTTTACTAACCTTCAGCAAGTTTATACATAAGCTGTAACCGTCCTGTAGCACCAAGATCAATACCAGTACGATCAAGTTCGTCTGTGTCAAGTATGGAGGGTCCTTGCGCGTTTTCAGTTCTTTCAGTAACATTTCCAACTTTCATAGGTCTTCCAGCAAGCTCAAAACCGTTTAATTGTTCTAGAGCCTTCTTTGCATCTTCTGAATTGTGGAACTAGTAAAAAATACAATCAACACATAAATTATACAAAAAACAAAACAAGAGTAACATTGCCAGTTAAATGGACACTTACAGTTAAAAATCCATAACCCTTTGAACGTCCAGTTTCAGCATCCATTATGAGCTGAATGTTGTCAATTTTTCCAAATGGTTCAAAAATACCTCTAAGCATATCTTCAGTGATGTTGAAATGCAATGAGCCAACATATAACCTCATTGGACCTGGTTGTCCTTTAGGTTGAAGATTGGGCATTGAATTTCCTGCTCTATTCTTTTCAGCCTGAGTTGGTTGAACAATAATAGGGACACCCAACAATTTCTGTCCAGCTAAACCCATGGCCTGAAATAAAAGCAATGTGACTTGAGTAACAAAAAACCGGAAAATACCATGCAGCTTTACTCAAAATTCTAAACTGGCATGAACTTACTAAGGGAACAGATTCTGGATCCTTGAACTCCACATATGCAATGCCTTTAAAGCGCCTAGTTTTATTACATTTGATAAGTCTGACGTCTCGGACCTAAAACAAATGTGTTGTTAAATAGATAAAAAGAAACTTGAAATTCCAAAGCCCAGAAAATGTATTATTTACCTTTCCAACAGATGAAAAGAATTCTTCAAGGTCCCTTGCCCTGATTCTTTGTGATAACTGCATGCAGAACACTGTTCGCAAATCACGCTCTTCTGGTGTAAGTTCGTCCGGCCTGAAAAGAAGACAAAATTGTTAATACATCAATTCTGATGTGTTGTAAGGGGTTGATACAGATTCTGGTAATACTCACTTTCCCAGGACAGCTGGGGGACTCCTATCCAAACCTTTACGCTTTCCATTCCCCCTGTCGAAGCAGAAGGAAAATTCATAAATATATTGCAATCCTTACGTTGGACGACCTTAACGCCCTCAGCGGGTCCGGTACTCACCGATCTCTTCGGGGCAGAAGCATTGGGGTCAGCGAGCGCTTGCGGCGACGCTCGCGGCTGCCGCCGCTGCTGCCGCTGCGATGCTTGCGCTCTTTGCTGCCGCTGCGGTGTTTTCCGTCCCGGCTACGGCTGCGATGCTTCCGATCGCGATCCCTGCCGCGATCCCCGCCGCGATCCCCACCACGAGCGCTGACACGGTCGCCGCCACGATCCCCTCCACGATCCCCACTTTTTTCTGTGTCTCGGCCACGATCTCTGTCTCGGCTTCTGTCTCCCTTCTTTTCCCGCTCTTTCCTGTCCCGCGATCGGCTGCGACTCTTGCGTTTGCTTTTCCTGCAACAAACATATTTCAATTAGTATTACAAAGGAAAAATGAAAAAGATTGTTGTGCTCGGTTAAGAATAGATGTAAAATAGATCACTTACCCCGAGGACTTGCTTTCCGACGTCCCATTTTCTCTTGAGATTTTGGTGATGGGGCCATCTTCCTATGGACACACCACAGTGTTGGTAACCGACAGCAACCAGAGGTAGAAGGGTTGAAGTTGAAGGGAACAAGAAAAAGAGCACATAACAAAATTAGAAACAAGTATAGATGTGATTGTGTGGCAAAAGCCACATACACTTCATCTCTACAGCAGTCCCACTGCCTGCTTCCCACCCACATCCTTCAGTCACCTGCTCCCACTTGAGTTCTGCAGTTTCCAAGCATGTCTATTGAACAGGACACAGAACCACGAGCTCCGTGTTCTTCCCACCCAGTTCCTGTTGCCGTCTCCTTTTTTCCCCCAACACTTACCTAGGTTCAGTTAACTCGTGTTCCTCTGCTTGGCCATTTACAGAACTGAACCACATCGCTTACTTCTGCAAAGATACAGCCTTATAATAAAACCGTTCCAAATAAACCAGCTACTTCTCAGGAGCCCAAACTCAATTTAACCCAATTTTCTGCCTTTTCTAGGAGTCAGTCAATGGCCTCCAATGACCACTTATTGAAGTCTCCTAGTTCTAGTCCCCTTAAACTTGACTAATGACCCAATATGTTTGGAGTGCACACAGTACGTGCAGCGTGACAGCTGAAAAAGGAAACATAATTATAAAGACTGCCATTTTCATTCACAGGATTTGATTAGTTTGGTCTTCCTCAGTAAACAACAATTAAATTGTTTTGATTAAACCACAAACAGGATTATAGGCTGAAAATGAAGTTTAGAACCTTATGGGTACCAAAAGAATGAGAAAAACATTAAAATTCATGTTTGTTTTAAACAAGGAAGATTTAGAAAATGAAAGAAAAACCAGGAACATTTGATAAGGATTGTACCATACCAACTGTCCACTGAGAAAGACAACCAAACCAAATTTTCCAATGTAACAAAACAAATTTATCATGGGCAGGCTTTTACAGTTCACTATGAAGATAATAAAAATGTATGCTACATCAAGAAAAATCTGGGACGTGGATTATTTGAATCCTGAAGATGAGGCACTCCAAACTCTTCGTGTGCCTTAATCCTTGGAGCCAATGCCTGGCAGTGCAGTTAGATGGGACCCTGGGGTGACACAGAAGGGGACACATTCAGTATTTTGCACGGAGCTGAACTTATAGATATTAAAATATAACAAACTCTTCTAAACCCCTACCAGTTTTAAATTTATTTAAAAAAAGACAAGAAATGAATGATATTGACAAAAGTGATGCTTCCATATATACCGAATGGTGAGAGAAAAATTATTACAGTGCTTTTTTGATGAACATGTCTATTTCAGCAAATATAAGAAACATGAGATAAGTGTATGATTATGGTGGAGTGAAGTATTTCTGTTAAACTTAATACAATGTATCAGAACTGTTTCGGCAGTGTTACTGTAATCCATTTTCTCAATATGAAAAGAAAGTATTCAGAGAAATGAACGCAAATGTCACAGTGTATAATTTCCCATTAACTTCACAGATGCTTGAACATGTTGGGTCCCAGAGAAATCACACAGGGTGGGGTTTCCCAGCAAGGCATGTCCACCATGTGCCTACGTGGGACTCAACGTGTTAAGTTCTCAGAGCAACAGGAGTTTGACTTTCTTCACTTTGGTACAAAATAAGATGTTCTAATTTGGCACTGATAGATTGAAAACAGAATGAGGACAGTTTGATTTCACTCCAAACTTATTTTACATTTAAAAAAACAACTGAAGAGTGAAACAGAAAACCTTAAAAATTTAGCTCAACTCGTCAGTTTTAAAGATGAGCAAGATGCCATATCCAATAATAAATAAAATGTTTGATATCTTAAATCATTTGTCACTTATACAGTACTGCTTCACTGTTGTTTCAGTTCTTAATCACAACAGTAAAGAATGACATGTCCATAGTTGCTATTTAAAGATACAACAAGCATTACTCACGCATACAACAGATAGGTATGGTAGGTATAAAGTATATCATTACCTATAAAATTTGTACTACCTCAGTCGTATGTGCTCCCGGACTTGGGCTCAGCATAGAGCAACAAGCAGTGACATAACGGTCTACAAGATACAGAAAATAGGAAGAGACTTAGTCAGATGTGCAGTCACAAACAGGTCGTACAGTTTTCATATTCCCCTGAGTATAACCTACCAAGCCTATCATTAAGTTACCTTATTAGTAGCCTGCTGATTAAAATATCTGACACACTGACTACTACTATTGAAAACGTAACAACAATGGAGATAACTGACTGCATTATGATATAGAAAAATGTATGCAGGAAATAATATAGTCCAACAAAAACCCATTAAAAACAAAAGAAATTGATCTTTTCCAATTAGAGAAAACTTTCCTTGACATGTACATCAACAGGCACATTCATGCTTACATTCCCCTTAGTGTCAGAAGTTTCACAAGACTCATTCTTTGACAGATAAGCTTTAGACTGATCCATACAACACAGAACTAAAATTCAACTTACTCCTTTCTTGTACGGCGCCTCCAGCATCGCCTCAACGTCGAAGTCCTCTGCCATATCTGAAACTGATAAGAAAGTAAGGTTAGGAACAGAACAGGAGCCACCATGATTCAGGATCATACGAAACGGAGGATTACTTTCAAGGCCAAAAGACGGGAAAGAATGTGATATCTTAATTCTTGTCAACACAACATTCGCAAAATGGGTAAAAGCCGTTCCATCGATGACAAAATGGAATGCAACAATTCGGAACCAAGAGTACGATGGAAGTCAGAATGTGTTGAGAAACACAGCAATGCTATGGCAACGATATTGAGCTAGGTATTGATGGGTGCAAAGTCACACATAAACGCCCTAACCAAGAGGACGAACGAGACGATAAAGGAGAGTTTGGTAAAATAGTTGTATCATACCTCTGGTAATGTCCTTCAGTTTTGATGAAGACAGCAAAGTTCCAGAATAAAGGCAGGCTATGAACAGCGATGATCCTCGGTTGCCTACAGCAAGTTCCAATACAAAACAGCAGTTTAAAAGAACTCTTCTTAATCGATACTAATTGCTCAGAAAGATTCAACCAGTTTTCTTGTCCAGAATTAGATCTTGGCGATCTTCAGGTACATGCAACAACACTATCCCCAGCGTGCATTGACTAGCAAGCAAACAATGTACTTTTTCAGAAAAATGGCTGCCGCACGAATGGCGTCATCGGATCGGATATTATGTGAACTGCTGTAGTCAAGTTGGTTCGTCAGCGAACTGCAGGGTTTAGTTTTTATCAAATTCAAATACAAAAATCGAATTAAATCACATTTTGAATTAATTTCTTCAATTTAAAAGTATCAATTTTCAAAGTGACCTGTTTATGGTTCTGGGGAAATTGATTTTGAGACAACGACCGGAAGACGAGATGACGGGTTGGCTAGGCGCGATATTGAAACTGTCACGCAGCACCGGCGTATGTGATTTGACATAATTACTCGTGTTTTAATCACGTAATTGTGATGGCACACTTTGAACAATCAGCAGAGATGTATTTATCCAGCAGGGTGGCTCCAGTTCACTTCGAAAAAACGGTCGTCGTAAGCTTTAGTTGAAAACGCTTCTAATCTCAAGTCGAGGCTAAACAAAAATTATTTAATCAATTGTTTTCTCTTTTTTTTGACAGCGATCAACGTGCCAACATTGAAGGTGAGATTGGAAAGGTGACGGTATCAGATGAGTATCAGGAGAGTTGTGCGTGGTGCTAGTGGGTCGGGAGGGGG